AATCCCAGGGATCTACACAAGTATTTCACCACCAGATATGACCTAGTTTTATATTTCTGGGAGGAAATGAATTCATATCTGGAAGTCTGGAGTGAACAAACAAGAACAAGAAACAAAAGGAAGCCAAAAGCAAAAGACTCCAACATGAACAAGATAAATCTATCTTCAGAGGCATATTAGAAGTTGGGAAAATAATTCATCTGAACTAGGCAAGTGTGTTAAGAGTGATAAGTAAAGTGCACATGGAACAAGTGATCCCAGATCTCAGGGACCTCCCCCTACCTATCACCTGGGGAGTGAGAGGATAGGATAGGATATTGAATGTCCTTTGTCTCTGAATTTTTAGTTATATGTGCTGTAATGCTGCTCTGAGGAAACTCCTGGAAAGCCTATCCCAATATATCCACATCTTATATTCCACAAATTAAGCTGTAGTAGGTACTCTAAGACGCTGCTAATTGACTGCCACTTCGCAACTCAGGGGCAGCTGCATTTTAGTAATGGGTCAAACGATTTACTTTTTATGATGCTTCCAAAGGTGTCTCAGCTTCTCTTCCCAACTGACAAATGCCAAAGATAAGAAAAATGATCATAATTTTAGCATAAACAAAGCAGTCGGCAACACTGATTTTATAAATAAACTGAGCACCTTCTTTTTAAACAAATGTGGATTTATTTCTCAAATGATGTTCATCCGTGAATGGTCCAGGGAAGGACCTTTCACCCTGAATAGATGGCATTATATCATCACAAGCTCTGAGGCTTCTCCTTTCCGTCCTGCATGGACAGCTATGACCTCAGTTTTCAATAGTAGTGGGACTCAGCTGGGGTGATTTCGCCCCCCATCCCCAAGGGAATGTCTGAAGACAATTTTTGTTACCGCAGTGAGGGAGTGGAGGAGGATACAGTGCTACTAGCATCTAGCGGATAGAGGCCAGGGATGCTGCTCAACCTCCTACCATGTACAGGATGTCTCCCCATTACAATTACCCAATCTGAAGGGTCAACTGTGTTAGGGCTAAGAAACCCTGGTTTCGAGTAGAAAAGGGCATAGAAAGAGGGGAGCCAACAAAGCTGTCTGCTTCCTCACATTAGTCATTGGCAAGTAAGCATTCTGTCTGTTTGGCTGCTGCCTCAGCACAGAGAGCCAGAACTCTATCAGGCACCAGAATAACATCTCTCAGCGAACGGAGTTGACAAGGCCTGTGGGAAATGCCTGATGGGATTATCTTCAGCTTGTTGAGCTTCTAAGTTTCTTTCCTTTCATTCTACCCTGCAAGCCAAGTTCTGTAAGAGAGCTGCCTGAGTTCTAGCTCAGGTTTTCTTACTCTGAATTTAGATCTCCAGACCCTACCTGGCCACGATTCAAATTAAGGCAACAAACATATACTTTTCACGAAGCACACAGAGACTTTTGAAAGCAAGGACAATGACTGTTGGAATTGAGGCCCTGAGGAATGAAGCTTTGATGGACAAGAATATGCTTCCAGCCCCCTTCCCACACTTTTCATGTGTTAACCACTGCCTTCCTGGACCTTGGAGCCACGGTGACTGTATTACATGTTGTTATGGAAAACTGGTTTTAGAGTGCTGATCGTTCAAGAGAATGATTAAATATACATTTCCTACACCGTTGTCTGCCTGGTTTGTCAAAAAAAAAGTGAGTGAAGGCAAGATGGACTGAAAAGCCATAGAGTAGGTTCTAAAGATTAGTACCTAGCACTTAACAGGCCTTCAATAAACGTTTGTTGAGTGAATGGGTAAATGAATGGGAGGAATGATAAGACTGTGAGTATGGGCTGGGTGGCTGGGTCTAGTTTCTTGGTGAAAATGCACTGGGCTTATACCAGCCAGGCACATTTCCATCTTGGAAAATACTAGTGGCAATGGGCTTCAGGCAGATAAATGTAGAAGGAATACATATAGGTGGACAAACTAATTGCTCTAGTGTCAAGAAATCTGACTTTCACTACTGAGCAATTATTAAATTCTCAAATATTAGAGCTGTAAAAAACTCAAAGTCATCTTTTCTAGTCCTTTAATTTTTCAGATCAAGACCCAGAGGCTCAAGGTAAAAGAAATGTAACTGGCTATGCTCAGATTTTATAACGTTCTAAAAGTCACACTGGTAATTGGTAGAGAGATGTAATCTACAGAAAATTTAATTGCCAAATGGTAAATTCCCGGAGGATTTTTAGACCAACTTTGCCCTGTTGCATTCCCAGTTTGGTCCCAATATAGGCTTTCTGCAAGAAGAGATCAATGCCGAACCAAACTGAGAAAGCAAACTGTGAAAGCATAAACAATCCTGGCCCAGATTATTTGGCTTTGTCCATGAGTACACAGTAGATACATTAGACAACAGATGTGTCATATCAGCCCGACTGCAATGACCAGATTTTGAGGTACACCATAGACATCTGGAGATGTTCAAACTGAGGTGCCAAAGGCAAAAACGTTTCAGAAGTGTTAACACATTTGAGGAAACAGACAAGCCAAACTTCAAGGTGAAGTATGGGCTATCAGCTATCTCCAGGTTGTAAATACACAATGACCTCAATCTGTGCATTGTTAATTGAGGGAGAGAAGTGTGCAGGGGTCATTATTACATAATAAGGATTCTGCCCTGTGGCATAGGTCATGTGCTTTGGTTCTGTTGATGAAACCTGTAATTCCCAGTCTGCTTCCAGCTGGTGAAATCTCCACACATCCATCAGGCTGCTCTAATTCCGACTATATTACTATGTGTTTGAACTGTTTGCTCCTTCGAACCTTGGCTTATTTCATCTTTCATGGAATCATTCCCAGGAGTTTCGATATGGGAGTCATCAGTGAAAATAAACAGTCACAGAAACAGATGCCTTGTCCATGAGCACAGAGTAGATACCTTAGACAACAGATGTTATCACATCAGCCCAACTGCAAGAACCAGATTTTGAGGTACACACCACAGACATCTGGGGATACTCAAACCTAAGTGCCAAAAGCTAAAACATTCCAGAAGTATGGATACATTTGCTGTTTCCCATCTTTCTTTAAATTTTACCCATCATCAAGTTCCCTCCAAAATTCTTCTTTCCTCATGAAGCTATCTATCACTTCATGGTCCAACGCACCGTGATGTTACTCTTTTCTTTAGTCTACACATGCATTTTAGCACAAAATCACACAATTTTTTTTTTCATTGCTGTGCACTTGGACTCCCTGAAGATGATAACAAAATAAGGATTGGACCCAGGCAGCCCTTGGAAGTTTGCTCTGTGAAAGAGGATCAAGTAGATATTCCCTGGAAGGCTTGTTTACTGATGGTGTCTGCTGGGCCAATGCAATTAATCTGCAGCCTGGAAACAGCGGGTCTGTAGTTAATCACTCCAGAAGCCCCTGTCTACTGGAAGATTGCCTCCCTTGATGATGACATTGCCTGACTCTTCTCAAAGTCATAACTTTGACCTTCAGCTTTATCTTATCTCTTCAGTTCAAATCTAATTGCCTGGCCTAAGAAGTATTCTTAGTAGTTTCAATGGAAAGATCTCTTACCCCAAACTCTAAAAGTTACTTTAAGAACTTTATGGACACTTTGGTCTTATATCCTTTCCTTAGAACAAACCAAAAGCTATGTTCAGTTCACGTAGGCTATGAGCTGCTCATGGTAGACTGGGACCACTTCCTTTCTCTCTAGTTTTCTATATTTGCAGTTACCAAACTTTATTTGTAACCATTCATGTATCATTATAGGGAGAACTATTTAGGTTTTGACAGATTAAATCCGAGAATCTTATAGTACTTAATATGCCTTTGATGAGATGGATCAGGTAGCCATGTATAACTTAAGTGGTGAGTGCAGGTCTTATACCTCGGGTAGGTGAAACTGGATGAGAGACACGGTGATAGCATAAAGATGGCAGTTTCTAGTGAGAGACAGCTGGTACTCCCGAAACAGCCGAGTCTCAGCCTGCTAAATGAGGCTCTATGAGAAAAATGATCATTGTCTTAATTCCTCTCACCTTCCCTTTTATCTGTTTTTCCTTATGGTTCAATCATCCCTCCTCTAGGTCTTGTGTACTCTCCATCTTTCTACTATTATTTCCATCAAAACTCCCTCCAGCACCACCCCCAACAAAAATACTCCCTGGCATCCAGCTATATATGAGAAGGTAGTTTATCAACTACAATTTTCATTAGCTTAATGCACTGCCTTCCCATGTAAGCAAAGCCTTACTTTATTGAAATAAAGCTACTAAGAGTGAAGAATAAGGTATCACAAAAATATCAAACTCATGAGAGATACTTGGGGTATCATATACTATAGACTGACAATTCTCAGGAGGCTCAGGGGTGCTTTTTAGCAATACAGATATTAACGCCTCCATGCCACATTGCTGAGTTAAGAATCACTGTGAGGCCAGGTGTGGTGGCTTATGCCTGTAATCCCAGTGCATTGGGATGCCAAGCCAGGAGGATCACTTGAGGCCAGGAGTTCAAGACCGGACTGGGCAACATAGCAAGACCCTGTCCTTGCAAAAAAAAATTTTTTTTAATTAACCAAGTGTGGTGGCATGCACCTGTAGTCCCAGCTACTCAGGAGGCTAAGGCGGTAAGATATTTTAAACCCAGGAGTTCAAGGCTGCAGTGAGCTAGGATCACACTACTGTACTTCAGCCTAGGTGACAGAGTGAGACCCTATCTTTTTTAAAAAATAACCATGTAACATGAAACACGTTTGAAGAGAACACATCACTATATAAACATGTAACTATTGTGGAAATCTGAGGTCTACTGATGCAACTAACCACTTTTATAGAAGGGAAGGAAATGGAGTGCCTCCTATGGGTCAAACTAGGTATTTCTGTCATCCAATCCTTATCCCATAAGGTGGTATCATTTTGACCCTAGCACCATCACCATCACCATTTTATAGAGGAGAAAATAAGTTCTGAGAGGTTAAGTAAGTCACCCAGGATCACATAGCCAAATGGTTAACCAGAATTCAAACCTAAATCTATCATCACAACCCACACTATTTCTGAAAGAGTACAAGAATGTGCAAAATTGCTACATAAGGTTTAAAACATTGCATGAATATTGACGATCATATTCTTATTTGTATCAAAATATGAGGATTTGTTGGGAGGTTCAGCTTCATAAGATCTTCAGCCGTCTGTGAGGAGGATGATTCCTCTCCCTGGAGGAGACAGCAATGGCTGCTCAAGTATTACGCTCAGGCCTTCCCTGATGCACAAAGTGGCTGGCAGTGACAGTGCAAGCCTCTTCCTAGCTCACTGTGAGGACACTGCCTTGTGCCCATGCAGCTCCTTGGAGCTCTCTTCAAGGCTTCACCTGTAGTCTGTAATCTGATGAGGCAGAAGTCTTTACCAGATGATGCAAAATGTTTCCTGAGACCAGATTATGTGTTCCTTCTTGTTGGCCTTAAGTATACCTGGAAAGAACAGATTTAATTATTAAATCCTCCTGAGTACACTAATGTTGAGAATAGATGACATATAGTTCTAGCCTCTTTGCCATGACCCACCACACTGCTTTTATATAGTCAAATCTACCAATATTTTCTATTTTGGTTTCTTTCTTTATAGTTAAGTACTTCCTTTAGTACTTATGCCTTCTGCAGCCCTCGATTATACAAAAAAGTAATCTTTACGTTTTAATGCTTCCATGTTTTATTAACATTTAAATATGTAATCCAATCTGAAATTAATGTTTTGTATATTCGATGAGATGAATTAACTATTATTTTTTCAAGTGATTTTATAATACCATTTGTTAATTAATTTATCCTTACCCCCACTGACTTTTAAAAATATTTTATTATGTATGTTTTTCTTACATATACTTGTATCTGTTTCTGAACTTTTGATAACCTTTGAGACCTACAGTTTTAGCCAGCATATACAGAAAGGAAAATGTTATGTGCACATACATTCACCCAGCCATTCCATGGAGATGGGTAAGAAAGAACAAAATAGAGGAAAAAATTTGAAATTGTTAGTGAATAATCAGAAAGGGCTTATCAGTTTAATAAATAAACAAACCCTTGTAAGAAGTCTTCCTGGTATAAATTAGGGTATTACCATTCTCCTTTAATGAACAAGGAGCAAACAGCTAGATACAATCTCGATAAAGATACACAAGTGTCAGGGAATTCTTGTGTCCATTCAACTTCTCTCCCCACCTCATCCATTTATGAGCCGGAGCATTCTACTTACCTACTTTCAGGGTCAAGCCTGAGCATACTCTCAACAGAGTTCCTGCTGTGGGCAAAATTTATTTTGGGAGTGCCTGTCTAAATAGTACCGACAATTAAATGAGATAATTCATAAAAGGCAGTTATTACATTGCCTGCCTGTGTTAGTCTGCTAGGGCTACCATAACAAAATACCACAAATTGTGTGGCTTAAACAGTAGACATTTATTTCTCCTAGTTCTGAAGCCTGGAAGTCTAGGATCAGGTGTCAGCAGATTTGGCTTCTGCTGAGGCCTCTCTCTTTGTCTGGTAGACAGCTGCCTTCTTGCTGTGTACTCACAGCGTTTTCTCTGTGTGTGTGCACTCCTGATGTCGCTCCCTTTTCTTTTTATTTTTTTCCACTGAGGCATTTTATTTGCAAGTATGTATCACATTCTTAGAAAAAGAATCCCAGGATTTTCCCTCCTGTGTGTTTTTGTCTTACTTCTTTGTGGTCCGTGATGCCAGCTTAGATTGTCAGTAGAATGACACCAAACTGGAGGGATGGGAGCAGATTTGTCTCCCATTTTTCTAGATCCTTGAGTTGCACATTAAATCTGGGCCTTATCACTCCACGCTTGTTTAACTTGCCTGTGAGATTCACAACAGTTTTCCCAGCTCTGTGATCATCAGTGATTTCAAATTTGCCAATGTAACCATGCTTCATCATCACAGTTAGAAACCCAATGATGACTTTGGAGCATAGCCTAGTAAGAATCTGGTGTTTGCCTCCTCTTCCAGTGTTTATGTTCTTGAGAGCATCAGCCAGGGCATTCATGCATTCCATTATGGCAGCATGGAGAGATGGCGGAAGGAGGATGGGAGGGGAGGGCACATGGAGTTCTCCCTCTTCTTATGAGGACACCCATCATACTGGATTTGGGCCCACCCAAATGACCTCATTTGACCCTAATTGCCTTTTTAAAGGCTGATTCTTCAAATAGAGTCACATTCTGAGGTATCCTGGAGGTCAGGAATTTAACATATAAATATGGGGTGGGATGGGCACAATTCTGTCCATAACATGGGCATATATGAAGGAACTAATAAAAATTAGCTATTATTAAGTGCATGTGGTGGTCAGAGCAAATGAATATCAAGGAACCACAAAAGGAAAGATATGAACTTTGCTTTTTTCTCTCCATTTAACCAAGAATAGAGGTTTAATGCTTGAACAGCTGGGACACAACAGAAAGTCTTATCCAAATAGCTACTGATAGCAAACCAGGTCAGAGGACACTTAAAAACTAGAGCACAATGGCTCAGCAGGTAGATGCTGTTAAGGGAAGAGAATTGGCTAATGGCCTCCCCAAACCACAGGTTACTATTTTAAATGTTACAAAAGACCATAGATCATGAAAAGATAAAAAATAAACCAGTGTGGGTCCAATCTTCAAAGGAAGAGAATTGAGTGATAAAGGAGCAGTTTGTCTCCATATAACTAAACTAAATTGCTGAGTGCTAAGGATGTTTTTAGGCTAGAGGTAGATTACAATCTTTTCTGTCCTGGGGCTCTCAGGATAGAAACCGGTATGTGTTTGTGTGTGTGTGTGTGTGTTTTCTTTCCTTCACTCTTAACTTTTTGTAGTCCTTGAAGACTGAAAACACCTGTGTGCTGGCCAGTCAGGCAAAAGGGATACAGACACATTTACTTCTAGAGCTACGTAGTATAAACATAAAAGAGGGCTTTTCTGGGGAAACACAATCAAATTTCAAGGAGCAGGGTAATCCTCTGGGCCCTTATAGCACTTAGGCTGGGCATAGCTATACTAGACTCATCAGGTTCAAGTGTTCCAGTAGAGAGTGACCCTTCCCCACAGTAATGGTCTATATTATATTTGCAGGAAAAGTAGGCAACCATGATGCTATGCAAGCCTCCAGTTGAAGAAATAGCCCTGTTGGAAATGGGAACCCCCAAATCTCAGGAGCTGTTATTAGGTTGTGCTTCCAAGGACTTCCAGGGCCTTTCAGATGTATATCTGCTCAGATAAAGAAAAGGAATAATCAGACCTCCCTAACAGCCATTAGGACGGTCAGGCAATCCTCCCTACATACAAATGTCATTGAACTATTGATCAACTGAAACTGCAGCACAAAGGGTGAGCACTTGGGTGTGGCCACATGTGCAGGGTGCCAGCTCCCTGCCACATATGGGAAGAAGAGGCCTGCAGGACTCTGCTCAGATTTGCATTAGCGCTCAAGTGAACAATTGCCCCAGACTCTCGACTAGTCTTCCTGACCTCAGACTTTCAATTTGTGATCCAAGAACCACCCCTCCCACCCCCTTTTTTTCTTTGAGACGGAGTTTCGCTCTTGTTGCCTAGGCTGGAGTGCAATGGCGTGATCTCAGCTCACCGCGACCTCTGCCTCCCGGGTTCAAGTGACTCTCCTGCCTCAGTCTCCCGAGTAGCTGGGATTACAGGCGTCCACTGCCACACCTGGCTAATTTTTTGTATTTTTAGTAGAGATGAGGGTTTCACCATGTTGGCCAGGCTGGTCTCAAACTCCCAACCTCAGGTGAGCTGCCCACCTCAGCCTCCCAAAGTGCTGGGATTACAGGCGTGAGCCACCACCCCTGGCCCAAGAACCACCCCTTTAATACAAATACAAGTAATCAGGAAGGGGAGAGCAAGCATTCATTATGCCTGCAGGTTCAAAACAGAAGAGTGATCAAGTTGAGAAATAGACAAACAATTCTTTCCCAGGTCAATGTGTCATGGTGCGGTGGTTTGATCCAATAGTTCTGGCAAAGTCCTCTGCATGTTCTTGACAGAAGGTGGGAAGATTGTCTTGATTGGAGCTAGGAAGACAGAGAGAAAATGGCTACTCAACTAGTGGGTTAAATAAACAAAGAATCCTTTAGGGCTGAAAATAGGTGATTCTCAGCTTTCTTTAATTAATGTGCAAAACTTGGGTATGTACATATGCTAAAAATTATTGATGATTTTTAATTTATAGAGAAAATAATTACTCCTAAATCCACCTCCTTAATAATGATCAGAATGTGTATGCTTTAGTCCTCATCCATGTGCACACGTATTTTGAAAAGCTGTGATCATAGCCTTTGTCTTGAATAAATGTATATTATTACATACCCAAATATTTGCTAATTTAGAAAACAATGGATTTACCAATCCCATCCATTTCACTTGAGAAATTTTCCGTCTGGAGTACAACTTTCATTAGACAATAGTTCCTGCTGTTGAAGGCTGAAGTTGCAGGCTGGGTTATACCTACACACTTTTATACAATAGGAAAGGTGCAGAATATGGTAAGGAGTGGTAGATTTTAAATGATGGATTCTAGATACGGGGGAAATGTCTGGACTCTAGAAAACAACCAAACAAAAAGAACGTCTTACTTTCATAGCACATCCTGGCTTATGTTAAAATCACCCTTAAAATGGGGCTAATAATGCCTACTTTAAAGGACTTTTTGAGGAATAAATGATGGGAAATTGCACTGTAAACTGCAAAAAAAAAAAAAAATGATAGAAATGTAAGGTAGAACTGTTGGTATTACTCATGAATCTGTATCTCTCACTAAACTCCAAATTCCTGAAAAACAATTCCCTTACTTTTCATCTTTGTATCCTCCCCACTCTCCCCGACTTCCCGCCTCCCACCGCAGCTCCTGCAGAGTAAGATAGAGGCAGAAACAGCTCGGTTGTCGCTGAGAGAAACAACCAATCAATTTTTTCTAGGACTGTCAGGGATATTTCACCCAGAGTTTCTAATAATGGGGATCTGGGAGCTATTTTCAATATTTTATAAAAGTCTAACCTGAAATTATGCTGTTGTCATCAGTAAAGCTTTACAAACCAAATAAAACATCAAAGTTTCTTTTTTTCCCCCCCTTTTTCTTGTTTTTTTCTTCCTTTTGAATGGGATTATATAAGCAACTATGCATTTTATTGAAAAATTAATTATTACTTTAATAAATATTGTGAGAGGCCCTGTCATAGTTGCAGAGGACAAAGAATGAATAAAATAAATCATAATCCTTGCTTTTAAGGAACTCATAATGCAGTGAAAACAGACAAGTTTAATGTACATGTATAATATTGTATGACAAGGACAATAATAAGAACAATTACAATAAAGGAAATATATATGAGAGTCTTAGTGTACACTTTAGTGGGGTTAGGTGATCATGAAAGGCTTCCTGGAGGAAGTGAAACTTTAAAAGACCCTTGGGAGTTATCTAGGCAAAGGCTGCATGTGAAGGACGAAGTGGGAAGCCAGACAGTATGTCCCCTGCAGAGGGAGAAATATATGCAAACATCCAGAGGTGAGAGAAAACATGTTACCAAGAAACTGTGGTTCCATAGGACCCAGTATAGAACTGGAGTACAGGAATGGGTAGAGACAGGGTGTGGGGAAGTATGGCATTTTCCCTAATTTTTTTTTTTTTTTTTTTTGAGATGGAGTCTTCCTCTGTTGCCCAGGCTGGAGTGCAGTGGTGCGATCTCGGCTCACTGCAACCTCCACCTCCCGGGTTCAAGCGATTCTCCCACCTCAGCCTCCCAAGTAGCTGGGATTACAGGCGCCTGCCACCACGCTCACCTGATTTTTGCATTTTTAGTAGAGACGGGGTTTCACCATGTTGACCAGGCTGGTCTCAAATTCCTGACCTTGTGATCTGCCTGCCTCAGCCTCCCAAAGTGCTGGGATTACAGGCATGAGCCACGGTGCTCAGCCTTTCCCCAACTTTTATTTGGAAAAATTTCACACCTAGAAAACATTTGAAAAAATAAATGCAATGAATATCTATGTTTACTTCACCTAGATAACACACACACACACACACACACAGAGAGAGAGAGAGAGAAATGAATTTGGCAAAAGGGTTAACATCTGGTGATTAGTTGGTGGTAGAGATTTCCTTTTTGCTTTTTTTGTTTTGTTTTGTTTTTCGTTTTTTTTTGAGACGGAGTTTCACTCTTGTTGCCCAGTCTGGAGTGCAATAGCACGATCTCAGCTCACTGCAACCTCCGCCTCCTGGGTTCAAGCAATTCTCCTGCCTCACCCTCCCGAGTATCTGGGATTACAGGTGCATGCCACCACACCCGGCTAATTTTTGTGTTATTAGTAGAGACAGGGTTTCACCATGTTGGCCAGGCTGGTCTCAACCTCCTGACCTCAGGTGATCTACCCACCTCAGCCTCCCAAAGTGCTGGGATTACAGGCGTGAGCCACCGCGCCTGGCCAGTGGTAGAGATTTCTAACATTCCTCAGATACTTCCTTCCTCCTAATCTGTAAATGTAAATCTTTCTATTTTTTATTTTATTTTTTCTTAATTGATTATTCATTAAATCATTTTGGGGGGGGCTCAACTTTCCACTTAGGGCTATTAGATGACCTTGCTCCCCCCTCCTCTAACACTTAGGGGAGGGGGGTGTGGTAGCTTCGGGGGGGGGGGGGGGGGAGGGGAGCTTGGGAGATTGGTATTCATGTAAAGCAGTCCGTTCAAAAAAAAAAAAAAAAAAGGTGCATTGTTACGTGCACACACTCTAAGAATATCGAGTGTAGATAAACCAGTGTTTGTCAGCCTTTCATGACCTACCCCATAAGGAACAATTTTAGACCTTTTTTTTCCTAATCACCCCTCAGGAAACTATCTATCTATCTATCTATCTATCTATCTATCTATCTATCTATCATCAATCAATCATCTATCTATCTCTGGTTTTGTACTACACGTGTATCTGTGCTTTGTATGCTGAAAGAGAAAGAGCCAGGGATAGTGGCGTGCACCTGTAGTCCCAGCTACTTGGGAGGCTGAGGCAGGAGAATTGCTTGAGCCCAGGAGTTCAGGGTTGCAATGAGCTATGATTGTGCCACTGCATTCCAGCCTGAGTGACAGAGTAACCCCCCATCTAAAACAAAACATTTTTTAAAAGAGTAGGATTTTTTAACAATCCAAGAACCAAGTTCTGTCCATTTAGGAGCAATATTGCTCCCATTTAGAATGTATGAGATAAGGCCGGGCGCGGTGGCTCAAGCCTGTAATCCCAGCACTTTGGGAGGCCGAGACGGGCGGATCACGAGGTCAGAAGATCGAGACCATCCTGGCTAACATGGTGAAACCCCGTCTCTACTAAAAAATACAAAAAACTAGCCGGGCGAGGTGGCGGGCGCCTGTAGTCCCAGCTACTCGGGAGGCTGAGGCAGGAGAATGGCGTGAACCCGGGAGGCGGAGCTTGCAGTGAGCTGAGATCCGGCCACTGCACTCCAGCCTGGGCGACAGAGCAAGACTCCGTCTCAAAAAAAAAAAAAAAAAAAGAATGTATGAGATAAACAGATCTAACATAAAGAAGGAATAAATCAGATTATAATAGAATGAACTCCTATTACAATTAGTTTTTAGAAAGAATATTAATATAGTCATCACTTATATAAATGTAAAGTAAGATAAATTGTAAATTTTCTAACAAAAAACTGCATGATTTTGCTGTGAACCTAAAACTGCTGTAAAAAAGTATATACCTTAAAAACTGTAAAAATAAAAAAAATTATTATTTCAACATACAATTAATATAAAACATTATTAACAAGATATTTTATATTCTTTTTTTCCATAATGAATCTTCCAAAACCAGTGTGCATTTTCCACTTACAGCATCATCTTAATTTGGACCAACTACATTTCAAGTGCTCATGTCGGACAACACAGGTCTAGAGCAATGGCAGTACCAAAGGTGGCTTGGAGGGACTTTACCCACCTCAACTCTTCCTACCTCCCAATCTCTATCAGCATTGCTCCAGACCACACTAGACGCATATATGAAACAGTGCTTTACCCTGCAAAGGCAGCTTCCAAACAAGTCTCTGAACCTTCTTTCCACCCAGATTGCTGCCTCTCAGCTCCTCAAACACAGAGATTCACCTGGCCCTCCCCAGTCCAGTGCTCCAGACAGCACTGTTCCAAAGATTTTCTTGATGGGATTCTGTCTAAAAGAGGGACATGGAACACTGAATAATAGAAGGGCTTTATTACATCAGAATTTTCTGAAGACATCATATACTCCTCATTAATAATAGGAGAAGGAGCTTTCAGGTCCTGAACACTATGCAAAAAAGTGAAAAATGTATTAAAATGCAGTGCAGATTTAAATGCCATCTAGAAAATAGGTACTTAAGAAAAAATAGTTGCTGTCAATATAGAAATAAATACCTAGGCTTTGCCCCAGTTGGTGGAATTATTTCTATTTCCTTGCATCTAGAAACATTATTTATTTATATTTCCTAGCAACATTCCTGGAACTCATGTGCAGGCTTCTCTGCATGCCATGATACATTATAACCTACTCATCCTCTAAATATTATCATCAGGGTGTGGGCACACTTCAGCTCAGAAAAGTTAGTTGTCATCTGAATTAGAAAAGGCACTACGTTAAATCATAGTTTGCCCTTATATATTCATCATTTTCAGGTTTTATCTCTCAGAGAAGTGAGAAAAAAAGGCATTTATTTGCTTACCATTTTCAACAGCTCTTCCAAAAGAAGAGAAAGGATGATAAAAAGTGGATGGACTATAAAATAAAAAGAGACTCGGTCTCACAGAATCCTGCAAAGAAAACTGCATGGCATGAGGTGGAATGCACACATTGAATTTATAGTCACAAAATTATTATGTATTGCCTGACTCTCACCTGAGTCCTTTGGAACAAAGGAGGAAATATTGAATATTTAAAAATCAGGGCTGGGCATGATGGCTCATGCCTGTAATCCCAGCACTTTGGGAGGCTGAGGCAGGTGGATCACCTGAGGTCAGAAATTTGAGACCAGCCTGACCAACATGGCAAAACCCTGTCTCTACTAAAAATGCAAAAATTAGCCAGGTGTGGTGGTGTGTGCCTGTAGTCCCAGCTACTCAGGGGGCTGAGACAGGAGAATTGCTTGAACTCGGCAGAGGTTGCAGTCAGCCAAGATTGTGCCACTGCACTCCAGCCTGGGCAACAGACCGAGACTCCATCTCTAAATAAATAAATAAATAAATTTAAATAACATTGGTAAAATGTTATATGGTATATACAATCTTATGTGGCATTTTTTAAATTAAGAGGTCTTCATGGAAAATTCAAAATATTTTCCATCTTTACATCAAAACCTTTATAAATTAAGCATCTAATATTTTAATATAATTTAATAATATGACATGATATCTGGTATTTCCTTTAAAAACCCCCAGCAGAGAAAACATAATAAAAGTTGGGGAAGTATATTAAACAAGAGTGACATAATGCTGTAACTGGTGAAGTTGAGTGAGGGGTACTTAGGGATTAATTCTACTTTTCCCTATGCTTGTATATATCATATATCTGAAGTTTCCCGAATAAAAAAGTTTAAAAATTATTGATGATAAATTTTAAAATATGTGGATTTTTTAATTTAAAAAAATTATTAACTGGCTGTCTCTGACTCGAGGCCTAGCATGGGAGATTTACTATTGACTTATATTCTTGTAAATTGTTTGCATGTTTTTATCAGACACATTATTTACTCAAGAAAAAGTATGTGTATATATATATATGTATGTATACACACACACACACACACACACACACACACACACACACCCGTATTTTGGTGCTGCGCTTACTTCCTGAGGATACGGGTTATGCATTTAACTTACCAGTTGCTTGCCCTTAGGTAAGTCGGGTAAGTTACTTCTGAGCATTCTTATGGAAGAATAACATTTAAATGAGGTAATGCATTTGAAAATATCCAGCACAGTGTCTGGCATAATACTGGCATTCATTTAGTGCTGGTTTAAATGATATTAAATATGTGGAGAAACTAGATTTAATATAGGAGGCAGGCCTACCCCTAATATTTGAGTGGCCATTAGCAAGAGGACAAACAGGGGCACCCAGCTCACGGCCTGTTCTCATCTTTCTCCATCCTACCAGAGGCCCTTGCATATGTGTGTGGACACTCCAATAGGCTTGATCAAGTTCCACCCCCGCAAAAGCCGTCCTTTGACCACTCCTGAGGCCTAAGTGTGTGTACACTTACGCTCGCAGTCCACAACTGCATGGGCCCGGGAGTGGGCTTCTGGCTATTTGTCAGAGAATTTCGGGCTTGTAGGTGGCTGGAACCTAGTCTGAAGGAGGTGAGGGTGGGGTGGTGAGGGGAGAGATGTACTCTTGGGATTCCTTGGCCCATGGGAAGAGGTGTGGCTGGAGAAGGGCCAGGGTGGGCTCTTTGAAAGCAAAGGGTCCAGGGCAAGTGCCACAGGCATCTGAATCTAAAAGCAGTACTGATTCAAGACAAGGTGTTATATTGAACCACTCAATGGAGTGGGAGTCAGAAGACATGGATTCTTGCCCTAATTCTGCCAGTAATGTCATATGTGGCCTTCAATCAGTGTCTTTACCTTGCCATATGTGACCTTCAATCAGTGTCTTTACCTTGCTGCACCTCAATTTCCTCATATATTCATTTAATAAATATTTACTGAGCTCCAACTATGAGTCAGACTTGCAACTAGACACTGAGGATATACAGAAAACTCAACAGATTGCCCTCATTGACTTAGCATTCTGACAGAGAGCAAGATAACTGGGGCAAACTTATTCCAAATAAAGGGCCCCTTCTAAACCAAAACTTTCCATTCAAAATCAATCTTTAAAGTTGACATGTTTAATAAGTACAAGTAATGAAAGAATCCTAAAAGGAAAAAAGTGTTAAATTATAATGCAATATTATCAAGAGCCTTTTATGATCAATTCTCTAACACAGCAGCATCAGCACTGTACTAATTTTAATCACAAGCATTATTGCCAAATGCAGCACAAAATTCAGTCTCTAAAATGTGCCATTTTCTTACTATTGTTACTCATTTGACTTATGAATATTTTATATGGAAGATAAATTTATGTAAAAATAATATAATCACAACACAGTTATCCACATTTTAAAAATAAAATACATTAACAGAATGCAGCAGGTAATTTTTACAACATGTATTTCAAACAACATTAATATTGAGCTCTATTATGTAATAAACATAAAAATGGGAGTTCAGAGAAATAGATGAATAAAGTGTAAATAGTCTAAGAACCACTTATATTTATACTAGACCAACTAAGACTGGGTGCAGCTTCCTGTCCTGACTATATCAACTATAGTTTGGGGTCATGACAAACAATTGATGAGACAACTAGGAGTCAACTGAGAAGAGCTAAGGAGTCTGTCTTAGATATAACAGTAAAGAATTTTTTTCTAAAAGGATAGCTGTTAATAATGGAACTGATATCTTGTGTACTTCTAGTTTGACCTACAAGCAGTTACACAAGGAGAGTTCCAAAACTCACATTATTCTAGCTGTTTCCTTCTTACCTTCTCAAAGTTGAAGAGTTGGCCGTTTTCACAAAATGTCAGTGATAAGGGACTATTTAAACCTGTTAGATCTCACAACTACAGTCCTCTCAGGTACAGTGAACTTTTAGATAAAAATAAAAATGCCCAGCCTGCAGTGTGCACTGGAGTCTGTGCAACCTAGTCCTCCCTTGTCTGTCCATCTTGGTTCAAAATAAATAAAATAGAACAGAAGGAAACTGAGTTTTATTCATAGTATAGCATTTTTATTGAGCTGTTTCCACTAGATGGCACTACAGATTCTGTGTTTTAGGAATGAGGCCCTTTTAAAAAAGAAAATCGGAAGACAAAAATGATCTGTCTGAAATGAACAATAAATTTCTCCAGTCATCTGTCCTAATGATCAGTTTCTTAGAAATGAAACATGAATCTTGGCCATTTATTCACTATTAAACATTTATTAAATCATATTAAGTTTCAGACACTGGCCCAGTATTAAGGATGCCGAAACAGGACAAGGTCCCTTGTCTTTAAGAGTTCCCAGTGTGGAAAAGGAGGGGAACAGTGAGAACAGAGGGGCTGAATCAGACAAGTGAGTAGAAAATTGAAATGCAGAATGTTAAAGACTTGATAGAGGTCATCATGGAGTACCATGGGTAGCACCCAGAGGGACACCTAATGAAGACTTGATGAATGGAGGATTCCTAAAGAAGTTGATGTCTAAACTGAGCTTTGAAGAATGGGTTGGAATTCATTAGACAAAGAAGAATGGGCAGGGTGTCCGAAGCAGAATAAGTAGTAGCTTGTATAATCATAAAAGAAGGCTGAAACCCGGTGTGCATGCTTGGGTTTGGATGGGGCAGTGCAAGAAATGAGGTTGACTGGGCTGACAGAGGCAGGGTCATGGGAAACCATATATACATATGAGATTATATATATCACTTTAAGACATATGGAGTTTTATCCTGAAGGCACCTCCTACTCCTCTCCCCCTAGTTCATTCTGATTTTGTCACAGTGGCCTCCTCACTGTTGCTCAAACATGAGTAGGCACGTTCCTCTCTCAGCACGCACCAACTCTTCCCTTATCTGAACTATCTTTTCTCCATGGGTCCCTCCTTCACCTTCAAGTATTTGCTCAAATATCACCTTCTCAATGATACTTACCCTGACCACTCCAATTATGTTGTAACACCCTCATCCTGCACTGCACGCTCCTCACTCTGCCTAATTTTTCTCCATGGCATTCTCACATTCTAACATACTATATAGTTCTGCAGTTATTACATTTATTGTTTTTTTTTTGTTTTTTTGTTTTTTTGTTTGTTTGTTTTTGAGACAGAGTCTCGCTCTGTCACCCAAGCTGGAGTACAGCGGTATGATCTCCGCTCACTGCAGCCTCCGTCTCCCTGGCTCAAGTGATTCTCCTGCTTCAGCATCCCGAGTAGCTGGGATTACAAACGTGCACCACGACGCCCAGCTAATTTTTGTATTTTTAGTAGAGATGGGGTTTCGCCACGTTGGCCAGTGATCTCAAGTGATTCGCCCACCTCAGTCTCCCAAAGTGCTGGGATTACAGGCATGAGTCACCGTGCCCGACATATTTATTGTTTATTG